ATCGGATCACTATATCATATAGCTGCCATAGGAACGGTCGAAAAATTAAATGAATATTTATGGGAAAAAATTATATCTTTGTTGGTTTTTATTACATTCCCTTCTACTCTGGGATATGACTATTTTGAAATATTTCCAAATTTCGATTTTAATTTTTAAAAGATCGAACTACTATATCATATAGCTGTGTTAGAAACGTTCGAAAAATTAATGTGAAATAATAAGAAATTTAACATTTTTGCGATTTGTAAATTAATAGAATGATCTGCAAGGGTATATAAGCTTCGGTTTGCCGAAGCTAGCTTCCTTTCTTGTTTTTTCTTCTTCTTATTCAATTTTGCAAAAACTAACCCTAGATTTAAGAAATTTTCTTCTGATTTTTAGAAATATTTTTTCTAAAAATCAAGGCGAGCTGCTTTTGGCTTTTTCGGGCGGAAGGAAAACGGGATTCAGCTAAATTAATTAATGAATTACCAAATGCTCCCCCGTCCATGGGGACTATAATTAAGAAAGCTAAATTATCTTCTAATAGCACTGCAACGCCTTTCAGCAGATCAAGCACTTGCCCTTCTTATAGACAGTAAATTACACTAGTTTACGGCCGAAATGCTCCCCAGCAATTGATGTCAAATTCTGTTTGTTTTGGACCCCTAGATCACGAAAATAGCACTATTTTTTTTTTCGATGGCACAGTTTTTTTAAAGATATTTTAAAGTTTGAAATGTTAAATTTTGGTCTTTTTTCGAATTTCTTCTTATATCTCGGCAGATATCCAGCCGATTGGGCCAGTTTTAGTTTTATTTTTAAGTCAATAGATCAGAGCTTAACTTTGCCGTACAGATCAATATGATTGGATAAGTAATGGCTGCGCAGAATCTTGACAAAGATGAAAAATGTGTTTTTTGGTCGACTGTAAGTCGGCTATATATATTGTAAAAGCTCGAAATAAATCCGTTGAAAAATTATAATGGTTACAAACTTAAGGTTTACATCCTACCGAATAAAACAAGCCGGATATGGCCCAAATCCATGGAAAACTGGATTTATGGTGGATTTTTAAAGATCCGATTTTTCCACTTTTTTCGGTTGACAGAGTCCAAATTTAAGATTTATCATAATTTAAGATATATTATAATTTCAGTCAAATGTTTGCAACGCAGTGAAGGAGACGTTTCCGACCACATAAAGTATAAATATTCTTGATCAGCATCAATAGCCGAGTCCATCTAGCCATGTCCGTCTGTCCGTCTGTCCGTTTCTATGCGAACTAGTCCCTCAATTTTAAAGCTATCGCTATGAAACTTTCCCAAGTCTTCTTTCTATTGCAGGTACACTCAAAAAATTTTTTTTCCTAAATTTTAGAAAATCGCCATAAAATGAAATTTTTTCTTAATTTTAGAAAATTTTCTGAATTTTAGAAATTGTTTTTTTGAATCTAGAAAAAAAGACCATAATAACAGAATTTTATGAAAAACCTTTCTAAAATTTAGAAAAATGATTTTTTTTCTTAAATCAATGGTGTTTTTTCCTAGTTTGCTCTCCAAAAGTTTTCTTAAATTAATGGCGATTTCTCCATTAAATTAAGAAAAAATGTACTTCAGTCCTTCCTAGAATCTAGAAAGTCGCCATAAAAAATACGGTAAATTTTTCTGATTTAAAAAAAAAAATTTTCTTGAAAACAGAAAAGTAGAATTAGAAAATCAACATAGATTTAAGAAAAACTTTTTGTATTTCTTTTATGCTTCTCATTCTTTTTTCGAATCGAAAAAGAAGAAGACAGGGGGTTAGTCGGCGGCGCGTTGCGACGACAGTTTTTGGCGTATGTATGTATATGTTTATGTGTGTTTGTGCGTATGATCGAGAATTTTCTTGTGCGTAGCTGTAACTTTTATTGCGTTGTTGTTTTGGAAATGCAGTCTCTCGCGAGAGAGTTGCTTGCGTTGCGCTGCATTTTGAACCCTTGTGCTCAGTTTTGGATGAGCATTCAAAGTAATAAGTTTTTGTTGAGCCTATTAAAGAAAGTTAAAGTGCGATCCCTCTAAGAGGGAATTAATAGGTAAGCAATTTAAATAAATTTAAATATAAATTTGGTAAGTGTGTGAAAATTTATGGTAAGCAAAGGGCATACTATTGCAGGCTGCAAATACCATCCTTCTCTAATATTAATTTTTATTTTCGATTGCAGGAATAATTTTAATTTCAGGTATTGTTGATAATTTGGCAGTAAGTAGGGGAGAGTGGGGGAATTTCGTCACAGGGGTAATTTCGTCACCTGCAATATCTCGGAATCCATAAGTCGTAAAAATATATAATTTTTTTGTTTTAGTCCTTCAAGACGGCCAGACACAACCAATGCATTTGTTTTGCACAGAAGGCCAAGATAATTAAGCTATAATATTAAATGTGTTTTAACAGTTCAAAAGCTACATTTAGTTTTCGACGAAATTTTTTCTGTATGCCACAATTCAAAAGGAATAAGATACACGATTTTTTATATAATACACAGTGCTATAATGTGCATTTCTGCGTCAGTGATTTTTAACTTCGCGCCTAATTTCGCAAGAAAAATAATTATTTCTAAAAAAGTACGGTCTGGGGAAATTTCGCCACCCTACGCTAAGGGTAAATTCGCACCTATTTTAAATACATATTTTTATATTTGACGAGCTGGCTAACGAACAGACTACCAGCAGCAGCAACAAATATAGGACGTCAACAAAAATGGTACGCTTGATCAGTGTAGCATATTTTCAGGCGTTAAACTCCCTACATTTTTCAGGTGACGAAATTTCCCCAGTTGTGTGGTGATTTTACCCCCCTGTGTGGTGAGAGTATATTGGTTTTACATTTTATTTTTTTATAAATCACCAAGCTAATTAAAACAAGAGAGAACGCTATAGTCGCGTGCCCCGACTATCAGATACCCGTTACTCAGCTAAAGGGAGTGCGAAGGAGATGGAGAAAAACTTTGATCCGCCGTAACTTTTTAACGAATGGTCCGATTTAAAAAATTTCTTCTACATTTCGATAGGCATTGATAAACACAATAACACTGCATTTTTACTTTTCCAAAATATTGAAATTTTTAAAATCGTATATAAGCGATTGTGGGCGTTAGAGGGGGCGTGGCACCCTTTTGAAACAAACTTGCGCTGCGTAGGAACTCCTAGAATCTGCATGCAAAATGTCAATCTTCTAGCTTTAATAGTTTCCGAGATCTCAGCGTTCATACAGACAGACAGACAGACAGACAGACAGACAGACAGACAGACGGACAGACAGACGGACAGACGGACATGGCTAGATCGACTCGGCTAGTGACCCTGATCAAGAATATATATACTTTATGGGGTCGGAAACGCTTCCTTCTACCTGTTACATACTTTTGCACGAATCTAATATACCCTTTTACTCTACGAGTAACGGGTATAAAAATAGGGGAATGTCACATTTTAAAGCTTGGTGCTAACCGCATTCAACAATAAAAATAGAAATATGATAACGTGTCTCAAGATGGACAAAAGATAGCTTTGAAAAAATGCTGACGAAATTCCCCCACTCTCCCCTAAGTAAATTTTAATAATAGGTAATATATTAAATACCTACTTAATATTAATATTAATAATATTTTATCTTTTTTGTTTTCTTTTCTCTTTTTTGTTTAGGAAATATTTATAATGTCATTTTTATCTTTTTTTGTTTTCTTTTCTCTTTTTTCTTTAGGAAATATTTATTATCTTATTTATATACTTTTTGTTTTGTTTTCCTTTTTTGTTTAGGAAATATTAATAATTTTCTTTTCATATTTTTTATTTTTGTTTTCTCTTTCTTGTTTAGGAAATAAAATAGTAAAATAAATATGTATACATTTTATTAAAATAAAGAAAATTTTCTGAAAATAAAAAAAGTCCTTTCTTATTTTAAGAAAAAAATTAATTTTTTAAGAAAAGTACTTTCTGGATTTAAGGAAATTTTTTTCAATTTTATGGCAATTTTTCTTGATTTTAGAAAAGTATATCTGCTTTTCAGAAATTTTTTTCTAAATTTTAGAAAATTCCTTTCTAAAAAGTACGGTAAATTGCCATTGACTGAAATTCATGGCGAATTTCTTGATTTAATGGCGATTTCGGGCTGTTTTTTTTTTGAGTGTAGTACATATGTCGGAACGAGCCGGAACAGACCACTATATCTTATGGCTCCCATAGGAATAATCAAAAAAATAATAGAAAAACTATTGTAACTTTGTAGAAAGTAGGCGTTTTGATTTTTGACAATGTAAAAACAACATTTTAAGTAGGCATACCTGCAGATATAATAAGAAACTAAAGGTCTGTTTACGTACGTACATCGTGACGTCATCCGTGTGTTTAGAAACATAAGTTGCGGAACGGGAACCAACAACAAACCCCGTCAGAGGGGAGTTGCCCTCAATTCCCCGATTTTTTTTTCTTCTTCTTATTCAACTTTGGAAATACTTTCCCTGAATTTAAGAACATTTTTTTCTGTTTTTTAGAAATTTTTTTTCTAAATATCAAGGCTGGCTGCCTTTGGCTTAAAGAGTATGGCGATTTTTCTAAAATTTAGGGCGATTTTTTTCTGAGTATAGGAGTATTATAAGCAAAATATCCAGTCTGTTATGAATGCCTTTCCAATTCATAGGGTCACAGTTTTGAACAATCGAAATATTCTAATCGAGTTCACCTTCGCTGCTCGAGGCGCTGCAACTGATAAAATACATTTTGTAAAATCATTGAATCTAACTAAGAATTTTACCAATAAAACTCCGGAATTAAATAAAATAAAATTCGGTTAATTGTTAAAAAGTCTAATTTCTTTTTTGTCTCCCTGGCTTTTAATTTAGCTAAGTATCGGTTAAGTCGTAGTCGAGCCACTCGACTATATTTTTCATAATATTGTGAATTCTTATAGTTTTATCTGTCTTTGAAAATAACTTCAAATGAGAAAATAATTAAATTAAGATGAATTTTTCAGCCACTCACATCAAACACGCACTGACGCTGGTCGGATCGAACTCCTCGGGTGTCATTGTCATAGAAATAAATGATGGGCTCGATCTCCAGTGTTGTCTCAGTATTGGCGGGAATGTAAAACGGGTTGTTGTGCCACACGAAGGGCTCGGTTACCATAACATCGATACCTTTCATTGCATTCTTATCCTTGCTGCCCGGCCAGTGCTTAGAGCTTTGGATAAGGACCCGAGCGGAGAGGGCGCTCATAGGGCCCGCCGACCCTGTACGCCACGGCCACATGGGATCCAGCAGCTGCATCCGCCTGCCTTCCTCGGTCTCCAGGGAGTTGAACGCCCAGCACAGTCCGTTCTTGCTGCGCCGTTTAAAGAATATTTCGCAGCAGTTGTAGGCGTAGTGCCGCCACAGGCAGTCTGCGAGTAATTCGTCACACCGCCAGGTCATGAAGTCCACCACCTGGCTGAAATTAATGTAGTTCATCATTTCCGTCGGCTGGTTTCGCAACTGTTCGAAGGACTGGAAATGGCCAAAGTAGGCATCGTCGTAGCTGCCTACAATGCGCTCGAAAAGCGAGAGCTGAGCGGAGTCAGTGACGTTCGCCATGAACATTGATTTTGCCTCGGTCAGACGCTGCCAGTTGAGGCGGTTGCGGTTGCAGATCGTGATGACCGGAAAAGGAATTCTATACACAGGGTAACGAGTACTATCGACCACCGTCTGGAAGTGGGCAGCGTTGTAGCGGGCCGAGAGTATGAGGCACACATAAACCGCCCCCAGGAATGCACTCACAAAGGTACACAGCCAGACAAAGCGCTCCCACCTACTGGCTCTGGCGCTAAGGAGCCTGTCTAGGCCATGAATGGTAGTGCGCTTGCCGAAACGCAGAGCGAGCTGCCAAGCGGACTGAGCCACTAGAATGGCTGGGCGACTGCGTTGTTTTGGCTGCTGCTTTGGCGTGGGAAAGTAAACCAGCGTCATGTCTGCACAGGTCTAACTGAGTTCGGTTGGACAGTGTGCCACGTTTTTATAGCACTTAAAATGAATGAGAGCTGAAATGCAATGGTAATTAGGTGCCGTTTTACGCCTTAACATGTCATAAAACGCCGTTGACGTGCTGGGCCCTTATTAGCCGAATGGCTAAGTGACCCAGCTGTCCCCAAAGGTCAGTTTAATCGATTGATTATTCCCATGCGATTTAACGTGATTTGCAGCCGATAGCCAAGGCTAATTAGCATCGAAGTAAATTCAATTGCAACCAATCAATCGCAATTGATTTGCCAACAACGATTAAAAATTATACACAACGAATTAAAATGGAAAAAGGTTATGCCTATGCGAACCATAAATACCTTGATTCGAGATTTAATGCATTTAATATATAAGATGAAATCAAACTTAAACAAGAGAGAACGCTATAATCGGGTTAATGTTAAAAGGAGTGCGAGGGAGATGGATATATAACATTGTTTTGATTGCGCATAACTTTTTAATGAATGGTCCGATTTGAAAAATGTCCGCTACATTTTGATAGGTATAAATATACACAACAAAATGTCATTTATAATTCTCGGAAATCTTTAAAGGTGTAGGCACCAGACATTTTAAAATCGTTAGTGAGCGATTGTGGGCGTTAGAGGGGGCGTGGCGCTCGGCTGAAGTAAACTATTTCCAACTATCACACAAAAGGTTAAGTCAGACGACTCCTTATTTGGATGCGATTTAACTTGATTTGCACTAAAACATATTTCATTTTATTTTTTTTATTAGCACTACCTTAAGGATGCCTGTCCAGATTGCCGACCACAGTGGACGGATTTGATTAGTCTATCTGACTCACAGATCAATACCCTACAAGATTCGGAGCTTTTCAATCTAGCTTATAAAAGCCGTGCCACTACTATATGGGACTAATAGCAAAATGTTCTTTCGCTCAATGAATAAAAAAAATATTGTTTTGCCGGATGGGACACAGCGAAAGAGGCCAAAGGCTTGGGTGGCAAATAATTTAAAATCATGCAACGAAACTGCTTGGACTGTTCTGGTTAATGGCTACATAACCAGATCGCATATTCATGGGTTATATTGGCTTTTTTTACCGACGATGCGACGACGTATGCGGTGAGAATAGCATATGATTTAGTGAACATTTAATAAAGAAAGTATTTTAACAGAATAATGTGGCTTTTAGCTTTAATGTGCGCTTGCACTGTTCTGCTTTACGTTAGTTATTTGTTGGGAGAGCGTTATCAAAACAAGCAGTTCCAAACAATTATATCCCATTCACATGCGTCTATTCTTCACATCGCGTTTCCAGTGGTCATTATCTGCAACAAAAACCGACTAAACTGGTCTCGTCTACCGGAAATCAAACGGACATATAAAATTGCAGCTGCTCAAGAAATACTTTTTGATAGCATACTTACTGCCTACGATGGGCTAAGTTTTCACGAATTCAACGTGTTCGATTCACTACAGGATGAGGACCTAGATGACCTCAATCATCTAAACTTCACTCAAATTGTTACTGAGATGGCCTGGAGATGCGACGAAATTCTGGGTGAGTGTCTCTGGCAAACAGCGCCCCGAAATTGCTGTAAGCTTTTTCGGCCCCGCCGACTACCCCTTGGGTATTGCCTGGCCTTCAACGAGCTGGAGCAGCGACGGGGAACGGAGACTGGTATTAACACTGGACTGCTTCTTAAGCTCTTACTTCGAGAAAGAGATCATGCTCCGAGGAATACAGCACCAAAAGGATTTTTGGTAAGTAGTTACGGCCTTGATCCGCCTTTTTTCCATATAAGTTTATTCCCTTTGTAATTTGGTCTAAGTACTTTATATACACTTCTACCACAAAAAATATATCGATCTCTGGAATGTTTTTTTATGAACGAAAATTGTTATTTAAATTCAGTTTTTTGTGTCTAATTACAATATGTTACTTTAAAAATTTACCTCGATGGATACGATAAATTTAAATTATTTAAGAATTTCCAAGTTAAACTGCGTTTTCCAAAAAGTTCCCCGACGCAGCAAAAAATGCTGAAAATGGCAAACGGATTCATGGTTTGTTTTGCTGTTAAAATAGTTTGAAAGTGACACTTTTTATCTTTCAAACCCCATAGAGTAATTATACTCGTTACTCTTAGAGTGTGTCGTCAGGTATCCGATCGAAAGACCAAATTTAAAAATGCGCGTCTCAGTTTTGTACGTCGTTCACATAGACACTTTATTTTGCAAGTGGTCGCCTTTTCTGTCGGCGCTGCCAATTTGGTCTTTACAAAAAATCTTATTTTAAAACGGCTAAATTATAAATGGGCATTTCCACCAAAAAGTCCACCAAGCCAAAAACCTTGAAACTTGAATAAAACATATTTCCACATGATTTTGCCCCGATATTTATTTTTAATTAGTTGGATACTAAGCTTAACTACAAATTTGGAGTATAGTTTGATTATTTTTATGACAAACCCCACAAATATACGCAAAAATCAGTTTTTGGCTATTTGTTTGTTATTTTTTGGACTCGTCTTCAGTTGTTAATTTATCCATTAGGAATGTTAATATGCAACATTTTTCTGTACTAAATGCTTCATTTAAATGTTGTACTATTAAGTTAAAATCAAAACAGACAGTAATTGAGGGATAGAGGTAAAGAAATACACTTTACAAAACGCTAAGAAAAAATGTCCCGAGCGACATGTCCCAAGCGAATGTGGTTGAAACTGCATAAAAAAAAAAAACGGCAAACCATTTTTGAGTAAAGGCAAAACCATTTCACAGCGACATGTTTGGACAATATTCTAAAAAAAATCGCATTCAAATATTCCATTAGAATTCGCAAAATTCTAGTGTTAAATGAACTTCTCCAAAAATCACTTTAATTTTTGTCCCGAGCGAATACGGCAGTTTTTTAACGATATCTTAAGAACTAAAAGTGGTACAAAATCAAGATTTTTACACAAAATAGAGCATGGGAAGAGAGAAAAGGAAAGCCCATTATTTTACTTTAAAACTTTCACACTTTAAAAGTGTGCAAATGTCCCGAGCGACAATATGAAAGTGCCCAAATGTATTTTTCAACACTGCTCGTCCGTTTAATATTTAAATTTGAACTAAAAATAAATAAATGTTCCACAAGCTCCATAAAAGGAGTAAATGGAAGTTTCCAATGCGAAACATTCAGACAGGGACATGGTGGCAGCCAGAATCTTCAAAGCCAAAATTGCTAGATTTGGGAAAAATTGCTAGAAATGGCTGAAATTTATATAAAAATGGCCAAAAAAATGGATAAATATTTTAATTTTTCGCACATATATGTATTTTTTTAAGAAATAATAAAAAAAATACTTCAATTGAAATGAAACATGAATTCTTATCATAGGGGTATATGTTTATATTAAATTAAAGAATGCTTATAATGCTATCTAGCCCATCAGCCTCACTTAAATCCGCGTACTTCTCACTGCCAGTAATTTGGGTTAAGTACTCATCAGACAAATCATAATTATGGCAACATTTCCCGCCAAACCACGGAATGGGTTGTTGTTTCCAGCGTCTTTGTAGTTCTGAACTTCCACACAAAATTTATTGGTGTCTTCCACAAACGCCCATTTTATAAAATTGATTTTCTCGATTTGATTTTTTATTTCATCAATGTTTTGACATTCAAAATATTCTAATACATCTATTATGTCATTATATTTGGAAGGTTTTAGAATATTTTGAACCGAAAATAAATGAACCTTTTCCATTACTTCAATATTTTCCGGCAATCTAAAGCAAAAAAATAGGTATTATATGCACCAGGATACAAATTACCATATTACCTATCGCGAAGTTGGATTATTAATTCTTTTACGAACTCCATGCAATTTGTTCGTATTTCAGTTTTATACGATTGGAATTGATTCTCTTTTAATTTCTTCTCGAAAGCAAAACCAAAATAGAAAGGCACTGCTGCGTTTTCCAAATCATCTTTTAAAATATTGATTTTATAATCAGGTGGTATTATTTCGGATTTTAATGCATTAATGGCAACTATTACATCCGCAAGTAATTGAGTTGGGTTTCCATTCCGACTTTGAAAATTTTTGTTCAGGCCATGCATGTCCTTTAATATGGGCCTTAAGAACAAAAAACAAGAGAGAACGCTATAGTCGGGTGCCCCGACTATCAGATACCCGTTACTCAGCTAAAGGAAGTGCGAAAGAGATCCGCCGTAACTTTTTAACGAATGGTCCGATTTAAAAACTTTCTTCTACATTTCGATAGGTATTGATAAACACAATAAAACTGCATTTTTAGTTTTCCAAAATATTGAAATTTTTAAAATCGTATATAAGCGATTGTGGGCGTTAGAGGGGGCGTGGCACCCTTTTGAAACAAACTTGCGCTGCGTAGGAACTCCTAGAATCTGCATGCAAAATGTCAATCTTCTAGCTTTTATAGTTTCCGAGATCTCAGCGTTCATACAGACAGACAGACAGACAGACAGACAGACAGACAGACGGACAGACAGACGGACAGACGGACATGGCTAGTTCGACTCGGCTAGTGATCCCGATCAAGAATATATATAGTTTATAGGGTCGGAAACGCTTCCTTCTACCTGTTACATACTTTTGCACGAATCTAATATACCCTTTTACTCTACGAGTAACGGGTATAATAAAGATAATTTATTTCATTATTATACAGCGCGTGAAGAATAAGTGCCTTGTGACATATTTTCAATTAAAGCAATGAGTTTCTATAAAATCAAATATGCAGCTTCAACTCAGTGTCACACTGAATATCTTACGATGGTTTAAATAAGTTCCAAAAAAATTGTCAAAAAACTTAAAAAAAATTTTTAATGAACCTTTGCGGTTAAAATAGTAGGTAAAGTTGCCGGCTTTTTTTTTTAATAAATTTGTTGTTGCCATTGAAATCTCTTCCTGGTAACTATTCGTATTGGATTATAATTTTAATATTAGACTAATTGGAAAAAAAAGTTACAAAAAACTCCAAAAACTTTTAAAAACACAAAGAATGCGCAACTCTATTTTTTAAATTTTTCGACTGCGGCGTAGTTTTTTTGTTCAGTTTTTATCAAGTATGTTTTAGATGGAATAAGGGTTATTGGGTCTGCTCATAAAAAAAATCCTAAAATTTATTTTAAGTATGGGGTTTGAAAAAGACTAACAGGGAGTGTCTTTTACCAAAATTTAAGTTTAATTTTTATTCATTTGTTATGTATCAAGCACTCGATATAATATGCAATCGATCGATATGGACTTTGAGAGCTACTCCGCAAAGTTGGCCAATTTCACCATTTTTCGAACTTTGAGGTCCTTTTGCTTAGACTCATACAGTGAACATTTGTAAAACATAGTTTAACTGCCTAAAGTCGTCGCAACTAGAACTTCGAACCAGTTGGGACTGCTAAGCCGATTTAGCTTTGTTTATTGATTGGCTTAGGTGCGTGGCATACAGTACAGAAACTGTCTGCCTAAAGTCGTCGCAACTAGAACTTGAACCAGTTGGACTAAGGATTGCATATGAGGATCTGAAGACTAGAGCGACAGCCTCTGTTGAATGCAAAATGAGTAAAACTTGATTGTAGGAGTCAAAATTGTTACTGATTTTATTGTATAAACTTAACGGTATTTATAGGTAAAAAGTGCATAGGTTAACAGAATAGGTATAAAGCAAAAGTGTCGGTTATTATGCATTATGCAAGCCCGGATAGTTACAATTCAGCAGAATAAGCTTGTGCCAATAAGTGGGTCATTGATAATGTTGCTGACGGCTTGACCCGATATATGATACTTCAGAGCGCTGACTTATAACTATTGCTGCGACTGAACATTCTCCCGGCCGTTGAACAAGTGTTCAACCATCGCTAATGCTGAACGCAAAACTTCGTGGGGTAGGTTCAGGTGATGGCTGCTCGTCGTTCTCTTGGTTGGTGCAGGTTGGCTGTCGTGGCTTCCAGTTGACGAATCGCCTTCTGAGACTATATGCAATGATCAATATTATTGATATTGCTAACGCAGCATACGTGGCTACTTGATGATGCTGCACAGTGGTAAATTGATTTGACCATGCTGTATCCTTTAGCTTAGCCAGCCTTTGTTGTAGACGATCCAGTTCGTCTGATTCAGATGGTTGGGTTGCAGTCTCTCGAGCTGACTCTGATGTATCTTCCACATCGGGCGTTGTTATATTGCCAAAACGAATGTACGCTAAATCGTGCTGAATGTGCTAATGCTGATGTTCACGTTTCGTGCGGTGCAGCCTGAGGACAGAGATAATAAACCCGATCCATTAAGGTGAATGGTGGATGGCACGCCCTTGCATACAGCTTGAAGTTCTATTTGGTTGTGGGTCGCAAACATCCATCTGTTTCGTTGATGCGTTCTTAACCAAATCAAGTCTGCTTTCGACTTAATAATTTCACAGAGTGTTTCAGATTTGTTGTTGAATAGCTGAAATTCACATCGATTTTCAGCGTTGAATGCGGCTTGATGGTTAAAGCAAATGTGTTCGTTGTTGGATACTACTAGACATTGCTCGAACTCATCCTCAGTAAGACCAATGAATTGATCTCTATGGGAATTTACAGCGATGATAGGTGTCTTAATGTCAAAACGATTCCAGCCTCCTGAGTGCCACGTTGGGATGGGGATGATGCTGAAGACTTCCTGCTGTGCTGTTGATACCAGAGGCACTGTCATTTTGAATATAACATGATCTGTAGTTGTAGTTCCCTCGGCGCG